GATTAATAAACGGTGTGGTTCCTGAATGTGGGGTCACAGCTGATGACCAAGTGCAAGAGCCCATTCAGGGGGCACCTCTCCTTTCAGAGCATGAACACCTGAGTTGACAGTTATCTCTAATAAGCAGTCTAATTTATTTTATTTTACTAATTTTTTTTTGGGTACGTGCCCCTAGTGGGAACCAAACCCGGGACTCTGTGGTCCGCAGGCCAATGCTCCAACTGCTGAGCCAAACCGGCCAGGGCAGGTTACCTCTAATTTAGAGATGACGCAGGTTAATGAGAAAAACAGTCCTGCCTGGCCGGTTTGGCTCAGTGAATTGAGCATCGTCCCATGGACTGAGAGGTCCAGTTCCATTCCCGGTCAGGGCACATGCCCAGGTTTTGGGCTCAATCCCCAGTAGGGGGCGTGCAGGAGGCAGCTGATCAATGTTTCTTGCATCCATGTTTCTATCTCTCCTTTCCTCTTTCTCTCTCTCTCTCACTAAAAAATCAGTAAAAACATATTTTTTAAAAGAAAAAAAGTCCTGGTCCAGTTCAGGTGTGGAATTGCTGTGCCTTTGGCTGGGAAGGGTTGCTATCTACTCCGATGTTTTTCTTCAAATAACACCCCCGCCAGCCAGTTTGCTCAGTGGTTAGAGCATCGTCCTGTGGTCCAGAGAGAACTGGGTCCGGTTCCCACTAAGGGCACGTACCTTGGTTGCAGTTTGTCCCCGTCCCCTGGTTGGGTCATGCGGGAGGCAGCCACTCAGTGTATCCCTTTCATGTCCATGTTTCTCTCTCTCTCTCTTCCTCTCTCTCCCTCCCACTCTACCTGAACAAAAAATAGAAAAATGTCCTTGAGTGAGAATTTAAAAAACAAACAAACAAGCAAACAAAACACCCCTCCCCCACCTTTGACCATACCACACGGGAAAGGGTTACTGCACCTCTGGAGGTGGCTAATTAGTTCCCTGAGAGTTGGGGGTTAGGCAGTGGGGACCTTGGGAAGTCACTGGCAGCCTGTGGGAGCTGGCAGCTTTCAGTGGGGGAGGGGCTCCCGGGCAGTGTTTTAGCAGATACTTCCAGGCTGCTTGTAAATGGCCTTGAGGGACCTCTTGACCTTTCAGTCCCCGGAGGGCAACCAAGTAGGCTAAACCTGAGGTAGATCTGTGGGCCTCTGCCCACCCCTCCCTGGGGCCCAGACCCAACTAAGGTACATTTCCCCGGTTTCCTTCTTGGACTCTATTCATACCGAGCCTTCATTTATATCACCCACCTTCTGTTACAAAAATAAACGGGAACATTGGAAGAGGGAAACTTTGACTGGTTGAGTCATCCTCCGAAAGGCTTCCTCCCAGAAGGTAGTGTCCTTCACCAAAGCTCTCTCCAGACATGGTGGGCTCTCCCAACCCCCTCCAGACAGGTCTCGCCTCAGGTCCTTTCCAAGGGCAAACTGTTCGCTAGCCACAGGTGGTAAGTTCTGGGTGAGGAGCAGTTGTTATGTATTCTCTGCAGCTCTCTGAGGTGTGGGAATGGCTGTCTTTGCTGTTCGGATGAGGGAACTGAGGTTTGGAGGCGTGGCCTTGCTGTCCACGGTCATCCGGCTGGTGAGCGGGAAAGCAGGCACTGGGCTCGTCTGTCTCAGTCTCCGAGCGGCCGTTCTCCCCTTTCACTTAGTTGTAGAGCCCTTCAAACGGCGTGGGATGCTGACGCCGAAGAAGCGAGCCAGGGGTGAGCAGAGCTGCCCTTGTTGAAGACGGGAGAGGGGGAGGGTGCCTGGCTTCTCCCTTTTCCAGGTGGCCTGAGACATCTCCATGGGTCACCTAGGGCACCGAGGGGACGCTAGGACACTGAGAGAGTGCATGTTTGGATTTTGGAAACTCTACTGTCTTTCCAGGTGGTTAGGGTTCAGACACCATTTGTCTTTGCCTGGATAGGAGAAAGGGGTTCTTTGGGACCTTGGGCTTTCACTCCTCAGGTGGAGGTGGGCAGTAATGCCAAGAGCAAGCAACTGCAGGTGAAAGTCACTCTGACCTAGGAACCTAATCCGCAGTGCTGAGAGTTCTCAGCGGTCACTTGGTAGAAGCTGCCCAGCATGACCACTGTCTGGGTGAGTCACATTCAAGATCTGGCAGGAAGTACGATAGTGCAGTTGTTGGTGGTGTTTGGGGCTCACTCTCGGGTACCCAGTGCGCCCTGCAGGACCACCTCACCATGCACTCACTCCCACCCCTGTCCACCAGCTCGTTCACTACGAGTGCCCACTGTGCACCGGAGCCTGCGCACGGCTCTGAGAATGAGATCTAACACGCCGATCCCTGGCCTCTAGGAGCCCACAGGCTGGCGAACAAACAACTACAACATGTGGCAGCCCAAACGAAGGCCGAGTAACCCTAGAGGTGTTAAGGAAGTCTTCCTCAAGCATCCAGTTGTTCCCATTAGCCTCAGTCTAAAATCCAACAATCCGACAAGACTAGCAACTGTCTACGAGGCTTTTTTTCTGTCTAGATACCTAAAGAAAACACTCATCTTTGGAGGGGTTACTGGGGTAAAGCCATTGTCCAATGAGACTGGCCAGGCCACGCTGAGGGTCCATCTGTAAGGATCCCCCAGATACCCTGGCACATGGGTTGGCACGTTGCTGCTCTTGGAGCCATGCCAGGCCTCTTGGGCTTCTTTAAAGGCAAGTTCATGTCCCTGTACATTGCTGACAGGTCTCTGGATCACCGACTCTTCCTTCACCTAGCAGTCAAGGTTTAGCTCCAGGTTCAGCCTCCTGCCCCATCCTGGTCGGGGCTGGATGGTCCTCCTTTGTACTCTCACAGTGTCTCTGTTGTGACTCATTTCTCTGTATTCTAATTGATGTTTTTTCTATTCCTCTCACTAATCTTTTCATGGATAAGTTCTGTATCTTTTTTTTTTTTTTATAAATCCTCACCCAAGGATATGTTTTTATTGACTTTAGAAAGACAGGAAAAGAGAGAGAAAGAAACATCAATGTGAGAGAGAAGAAACATCGATCACTTGCCTCCCGTATGCACCCTAACCAGGGATTGAACCTGCAATCTGGGTATGTGCCCTGACTGGGAATCAAACCTGTAACCTTTCGGTGTATGGATGATGCTCTAACCAACTGAGCCATGCTGGTCAGGGCAAGATCTGTATCTTTCATCCTGTATCCCAGTGCCTGGCATTTAGCTTGATGCATAATAAATATTTAGATGTTTTAAGTGAACGAATAAATAGTGGTGCATTTGAATCAGATCTTGAAAGGCTATTAGAGTTTAGCAGGCAGAGGAATGGTAGAAGGACATTCTAGAGAGAAAGAACTGAAAGTTGGTTCAGAGTCCACCATGTATGCCCTTAATCTGTGCTGCTAACCCTATCTAAAACTTGCTTTCCTCATCTGCAAAATGATCATGAAACTAACTTATCTTGCAGATTAGTTGTGGGTTTCAAGATAATGTTTGTAAAAGGCATAGCATCCCTGCACATGGAAGGTGCCATGATAAAATAGATACTGGGTTTATTCTTTTTAAATGAATTGACTTTTTGTTGGTTATAAACTACTAGTGAGTATTTTTAAAAATTGAGGTTTTTGTTGAAAATTTAAGAAGAGTCACTGTTCCAACTGTTCATGGGCTTACATTTTCTTGTCCTGACTTATTCCTGGAAGGATTGAACGCTCCATAATTTTGTCTGGTTCTGATTGTGAACTTGTAGAATTATTACTCCGCTAAGCTTTGTGCTCCTCATTCTCTGACTCCCAGGACCTGTGAAAAGAAATTCTTCATGGGGACTTGCAAGGTAGGGAGGAGCCTCCGGAGTCCCCACAGGTGGCGAGCTGCTGCGCTCTGCTGGTGCGGGCCACCCTGGCTCCCCCCTTTGAAGTAGACAGCGCTGTCCATGAAGGACTCACACTGATGGGGGCAGGAATCTGCTCAACCTCGTGGGCATTAAAGAAACCTTTTACGGGGGGAAAATCTGTTTGGAGTGGTCAGCTCTGCATTTCTAGAGCTAAAATAAAAAAATATGTATTTGTGATTAAAGCTGAAGTTTTTTTAAAACAGAAAAAATGTATTTTGGGGAGGCTGCCCCTTCTTCCAGTTTATTACGTTAACTATCAAAACAACACAGTAGCTGTGGCCCCTGAGCACTGATTTAAACACTGCAGGAGCCCTGGTCGGTTTGTACACTGGTTAGAGCATCAGCCCGCGGACAAGTGAGTCTCGGGTTCGATTTTGGCCAAGGGCACGTACCTCCATTGTGGTTCGTCCCCGGCCCTGATCGGGGTCGTGCAGGAGGCAACCAGTCAATCTGTCTCTCTCACATCGATGTTTCTCTCTCTCTCCCTTTCTCTCCCTCCCACTCTATCTGAAGATAAATTGAAAAATATCCTCGGGTGAGGATTAAAAAAATAAAATTAAATTAAAAACACTGCAGAAGCTTGTTTAGTTTCACGACAGTCTTGAGAGACTGCTAGTGTTCCCTGCCCTTTACAGGTGAGGGATTTGAGGAACAGACTGAAACCACGTGTGCCGGAACCCAGAGTTCTTGAGCTCGGCCGGAAGGCTTCCTGGTCTCTCTTTCATATTACATTAGTGCATCTGTTTTTTGTTTTTGTTTGTTTGTTTGTTTTTGTTTTTTTTTTATCCTCACCCGAGGACATTTTTCCATTTTTTGTTCAGGTAGAGTGGGAGGGAGAGAGAGGAACAGAGACAGAGAGAGAAACATCGATGTGAAAGGGACACATCGAGTGGCCGCCACCCGCACAACCGACCAGGGCCGGGGACAAACTGCAACCGAGGTACATGCCCTTAGCGGGAACCGAACCCGGGTCTCTCAGGACCGCAGGCCGACGCTCTAACCGCTGAGCCAAACCTGCCAGGGCAGTGCATCTGTTTTGTTAGTCTCCCTACATGCTGGGATGATGTGGGATGCTCAGCGAGGCCGCGTGAGCTATTTCAGTGAAGTTGCACCTGTGGTTGAACATGGCTTCTGTCTTCTTCCTCTCCTTAGCTATGGTGTGCTGCTTTGGGAGTTACTGACTGGCGAGGTGCCTTTCCGAGGAATCGATGGCTTAGCCGTCGCTTATGGGGTGGCCATGAACAAGCTCGCCCTCCCCATCCCTTCTACATGCCCAGAACCTTTCGCCAAACTCATGGAAGGTAAGTAAGTGATCCCCGGCCGGAAGAAAAACAAGAGAGTTTCCCTTGACAGTTTACTGTCAGCACTTGATAGATTTTGGCCAGTTCTGCAGAATCAGTTCCTAAAAGAGGAGATGAAGAATTAGTCACTCACAGATGTATGAATCCTGTGGGTGAAGAGCTACTTCAAGATGATGTCAGGACCCTGATACGCTGATGGCACAAGTGCCCCTTCTGTCCCTCCCCAGTGACTATAGATCTTAGTAACTAAGGCCTGCTCTCCAGTGCTTCATTCTATTATTATTTAATACAAATGAAGAAGGTAAAGCAGCTTTTATTTCAGGACCTCTGAGGGTCTTACATATAGAAACAGAGAGCACCTGAGGAGAAGAACTCTCAGAGTCATCTCGTCAAATCCTACAATATTGTAACTGAGAAATCCAAAGCTGAGAGAGGCCAGGTGGACAGGGGGCCACTCCACTACCTAGGGCTGAGCTGAGAGTAGAAAGAAGTCACTTTTCCCGACTCCCACTCCAGAGCTTTTGACCCTTCTCAACTGCCCATTGAGATGGGGAAGAGTGGCTCCTTTACTTATGGGAAAATGAGGCCCAAGGGTGAAGACTAGAACCAGGAGTCAGTACCTGGATAAACCATGGTGCTAGACTTCCCACAGGGGACTCTTTGGACTTGCTTGTCTCGTGCCGAGTAGTAGTCGCCGTCGGATGGGCGCAGAAGTGCAGTGTTTTCTTTCCGAATTGACTCTATGATTACATGCCGGGCACCTTGCTTTACTTCCTAAGCCCTATTTGTGCACCTAAATCCCAGTCTCTTTTCCTGGAAGGAGAAATGAGAGGTCGTTTTCTGGTAAATGGGGTCACATTATACCCTAAGTCTTACATTTGCTTCTCTCCATTCATGCTTTTTGTCTGCTCCCGTGTTTCGCGAAGATTGCTGGAATCCCGACCCTCATTCACGACCCTCCTTCACCAATATCCTGGACCAGCTAACGACCATAGAGGAGTCTGGTTTCTTTGAAATGCCCAAGGACTCCTTCCACTGCCTGCAGGACGACTGGAAACACGAGATTCAGGAGATGTTTGACCAACTCAGGGCCAAGGAAAAGGTGAGGACAGGAAGACAAAGGCATGCATTGGCTCGGTGAGCCTTCCCTCCTGGGCCTCCGGACAGATCCGGACACCACCACCTTCCTGCTGGGCTTGTGATGACCTGGCAGCTCTTTCCTTCCGGCTCTGAGTGGAAAGGATTCTCCAGGCCAGGCCTCGGGACTGACCTGAAATGGTGTATCCCTTTTCTTTCTTTTTGGGATGTGGCAGGGGGAGTCACGGGCCCAAAGCTCTCCCTGAGCTGATCTACTTCATCGTCCACACCAGAGGGAGAGAGCCACTGGGCCGGTGCCAGCGTGGTGGCTCAGCCTGCCGGCTGAAAACAGAGCAGTCTAGAAAGGGTTGCTGGTCTTGCAGTGGACTTTCAGAGGGATTAACTTGATACAAGGAGGTTTCAACATTGAGAACACTGATCAGAACGTCTTGCCAGTGTCTTTTGGTATTAGACTCAGAAATAGTGTATGGGCTGAAAACACCAAGGGTCTGAAGTTGGCATATTTCGTGTTTTTATGAAAAGTGCTAACAGCCCAAACCAACCGGGCAGTTCAGAGACTTAGCCAGGTAGAGAGCCTTCTTCTTGTTCTGTGGCTGTTCCCTAAATGTCCCCTGTCTGTGCCCTTGGGGCAGTCAGTGTCCACACAGGTGAAGCTAATCAAAGCAGTGTGCGGCTTTTTATTGCTTTATACTGCAGGGGCAGGACAAAATCTAAGGGCCACAGCTCGGGCCAGGAGGGATGTCTATGTACAGACTTGGTGAATTCCTTTTTCCCTTCTCACTCCCCACCATGGGCGTTTGGGAAGCACTGGGATAATAATAGTAACTAAAATTATACATGCCTTCATGACTTCCCCGTTCTTTCACTTGAAAGGTCTGGTAAGACCTTTTCGTCCCAGAGTCTTATGGCCCCTGCCCGCCAGCATGTAGGCAGGTGTTATTATCTTTTTCTTCTCAGAGCTGACGGTCAGCGGCTTATCTCGTAAGTGGGGAAACAGAATCTTCAACCTGCGTCTTCTGATTCTAAAACCATCCTCTTCCCAGTATCATTATCGTTTCCCTAAACAAATGACTTCATCATTTCTGGAGCCGATGCAAAGTTTTTGTTCAACATAGCAATCCTAAACTTGGTGCCGTTTGACAAATCAACAAGCATTCTGCAGGGGAATGGGGCGAGCTTATGACGAAGCTTTAGGGATCCCAGGGAGGAGAGGGGGGAGGACCTGCACTGACCACTGAGCAGAATGATTAAAAGAGGCTGTTCCTAGTACACATGCTCTTGCAACTAGAAGGACCGAAGAGTTGCTGTCCTATTTTTAGATTGCTGGATCACTGGCTCACAGTTATTTCTTTTGATTGATGAAATTATAAGGATTCCAGCTAGCAAAAAATGAAAATTGAATTTTGTCAATAAGTGCTTGCTAGGGAAAGTCAAACCCATTCTCATAATAGCTACCATTTGTAGATCAGTACTGTGTGCCATAGTCATTTATATGAATTCTTACATAATCTTCCATAATAAGATAATAATTGTTTTATGTACTACAACCCTGTGATGTCAGCGCCGTTAACACACATCACGGATGAGGCCCGTATTGCCCAAGGCCACTTCAGGCAGCGCTCCAGAGTCCTTGCTCTTCACCACCATGCGGCGATGCCTGTTCATTATAAGGCTCGTAGCTGGGCAAGTGAGGGTAAGATGGATAATGAGCTTTCTCTCTGGAGGGATTCCTCTTAAATTATTGTATGTGGAAGATGTGACTGGCATACTGTGAAGTTGATCCCTAAATAGGTGTTTCACAAGAAGGGGATGTGCCATGTTTGAGGGACTTCCAGGTGTATGGTGCCACAGACGAATACTCTATAAATGTCCTGGTTTCCTCTATGATTCAGCTTATTCTTCAGGTTGTCTCAACCTACTGCTTCTAGGTATTGTGACTGTGGATCGGTTTCTGGACTGGGGTTTGAGTTTCCTTAAAGGAAGGGGCTTAGACTCAAACCGTCCCTTAGACAAGAGCATGCAGGAGAGAGGACTTGGGAAGGCTGATATTAGCTTGAATTGGTCAGCTTTCCCATCTAGCCACAAAATCAACCAATCAGTACTACTTTTTCTGAATCCTCCATATGTTTTTGTTTTCCTGATGGTGAAAACAAAGTAGTGGGACAGGAAAGCCAGAGATTTGGAAGGTCTATAATTAATCTCTTTGGAACGTATTTCATCAAAGTAGAAGTTCAGAAGTTCAAGTTTATCTCATAGATACTTATAATGAATCTGTGCTTCCATAATGGCCCTGGCTAGTTTGGCTCAGTGGTTAGAGTGTCGGCCTGTGGCCCAGAGGGATTTGGGTTTGGTTCCCGCTAAGGGCACGTTCCTCAATTGCAGTTTGTCCCCAGTCCTGGTTGGGTCGTGCGGATGGCAGCCTCTCGATGTGTCCCTTTCATGTCAATGTTTCTCTCTCTCTCTCTTCCTTTCTGTCCCTCCCACTCTATCTGAACAAAAAAATGGAAAAATGTCCTTGGGTAAGGATTAAAAAAAATAATAAAAATAAATAAATAAATAAAAACTATGTTTCCATAATGAAGGATTGCATTTGTAAAATTGTCTTCTACCTCCTTCATTCTCATCATTCATTCATTGACTCAACAGTTTTTCAGCAACTAATGAGCACCTACCATGTCCCAGACAATTTTCTAGGTGCTAATCCTCTTCTCATTTTTTTTTTCTACTGCTCCTGTGGTTATTTTTACATTCTCTTGGGAATGGAAGACACCTCGAATGAAAAGTTCCTACCACCAGAATATTTTATTCTCATCTCTGTTCTCTCCCTACCCGCTGCTCAGCTTCCCTAGTACGTGTTCACATTTTTTTTAAAAATAGTTCTGGTTCCTTATATCTACAGTATTTTTTTTTTTTTTAGTCCAGAATGGCTTCCTCTAGTGGATAATAACACTGAGAATTTTAAGTTTCGACCATAGAAGTGTTGCTCTGGCTCCTTTATTGAAGAAACGTCCCACCTTTTAGATGTGGTTCTCCTGGGTTATTGACGTGAAAGCCCCCTAAGTTTTCCCCTGTTCCCACACCACTTCAGTCCTAGGCCTGGGGTATCCAGTGTTAACAGTTTAGGTTCCATATTTAAAAATCTTATACATATACTTTGTTCTCGCTCCCATTTTATCTCCTGTTTCCTGATGCCGTATCCTCTGTCTCTTGCCTGGACTCCACGCTGGGTTCATTGACAGATTCATGCAGAAGGGAACAGGGAGGCAGGGACGAGGTTCTGCCCATGTCATGTGGCAGCAGTGCTAGAGCAGGCGCCTGGAGAGGCCCCAGGAAACGCTCCCGCCCCTCTCTGCTGCACTGCCACAGTCCTTCCAGAGCAAGTGGCTGTCCTTTAAGATAAGACGAGAGCTCCGCCCACATGCCTCAGTCAGTTCACTCACCAAGTGACATGCCTCACATACCTTTTGAACAGCCACCCTGGAAATATATTTATTTATTTATCTATTTTTTTTTATTGATTTGAGAGAGAGAGGAAGGGAGAGGGAGAGAGAGATAGAAACATCCATGAGAGAGAACATTGATTGGCCGCCTGCTGCATGCCCTCCACTGGGGATTTGGCCCACAGCCTGGGCATGTGCCCTGACTAGGAATCAAACCGGTGACCTCTTGCTGCATGGGTCAATGCTCAACCAGTGAGCCACACTGGCTGGGCAAAATATATTTATTTTTATTTTAATGTTTTAGGTGATGCCTGGATGATTCGCTAACAGTGGACACATTTTAAGCTAGATCACATTAAATTGGCTCTGATTTAAAAATATGTCTTTGGGGGGAGGGAAGGGATAAACTACAAAACTTATATGCATGTAAGTCTGTGGACATAGACAACAAAGCTGGGGACGGGGTGGGAGGGGATGGGGAGGAGGGTGTCAATGGGGGGAAAAAGGAGAAACATCTGTAACAAAAGTAAATTAATAAAAATAAATAAATTTTAAAAATAATAAAAATTAAAATATGTCTTTATATGATGGGAAAATTAAAATAGAACCAAGTCTGTAAAATTTAAATATATATTTTCCACCCAACCCGCTATTTTCTTCCAAGTCACAGGCAATTTTAATCAATAATCAAAGAGCAACTGGGAACTCTCAGTCTGGGGCTTGGCTCTGGCTGCTCCAGCCGTATCCCTCAGTGTGGCTGTTCTGAGCCTTCCTTTCTCCACTGTCCAGGTGGTCAGGTATTCATTTACCAGCTAACAATTGTGCTGCCATCTCTGCTGGGGACTGGATGTACGGGATGTTACAGGAGCACTCTCCAGCTTGCCATGAGCACTAGCGCCCCCGGGCTCTCGGGCCTCACCCCTGTGCACTGAGCACCCCACTCTTGCTCATGGTCCTACCCACCCCGCAGGAGCTCCGCACCTGGGAGGAGGAGCTGACGCGGGCTGCACTCCAGCAGAAGAACCAGGAGGAGCTGCTGCGGCGCCGGGAGCAGGAGCTGGCAGAGCGGGAGATCGACATCCTGGAACGAGAGCTCAACATCATCATCCACCAGCTGTGCCAGGAGAAGCCCCGGGTGAAGAAACGCAAGGGCAAGTTCCGGAAGAGCCGGCTAAAGCTCAAGGATGGAAACCGCATCAGCCTCCCTTCCGGTCAGTGGCCAGGACCTGCTGGGAAGCGGGAGCAGGGCTAGGGGCTGGGGTGTGGGCCGGATGAGTGGGAGCCAGGGACTGAGCTCCGAAGCACCAGACCCTGAGTCGCAACATGGAGCCTGTTCAGAACGGGCCTCTCCGTTCAGTGGAAAAACTGGCCTGACGTTTTGAGTGTGAATAAGCACAGAATGTGAAGGGAAGACAGACTGGTGATGGACCTGACAGGCAGGCGTGGTTCGGGCTGCTAGAGGCGCGGTCACTCACGTAGACACATCTCACTTGGGACACACCTGGCGAAGGAAGCATGTCACTGGGGGAACAGAAATTCCAGAGTATGTATGTGAGAGAAAGAGAACTCTTGTCTCTGCAAAATAACTCATCTCAAGGTTTCTTTCGTAATTAGTTCACTGCGTGCGGTTGAGATTAGTACTAATGTACAAGAATTTGATTTTCACATACCCTTTCAGAAACACTTTGGCTGAAGACAAGTACCTCTGTGGTCTGCACCGCCTTGGGGAAATGTAAAGAAATATGAAACTGTGGATTAGAATCTTGTTGGGTGCAGTGTGGCCATGGAGGGAGGTGACGGCTCAAGTGTGTGTTTATGTAGATAAATGTCCACTGTTTTCTGAGTCCTCAAGGCCACAGGAAGCAAGCTTATTAGAAATCAAGGGACCAAGGGCAAATGGCCCAATAGGAGCGGTAGTGGATGATTTTAAGCACAAGGATGGTGGCGTAAGTACAGACAAGGGAATCCATTCAGTGAAAGGCAGTGAATGTGTTCATGGGACCAGAATGTGTTCTGGTTTCCTTGTTGCGCATTTGTTTTCAGGCAACACAGAGCTCTAAGCACCTCTTGAGCCTCAGCACAGGCCGCCACACTGCTGCGTGCTGGGGAAGCTGGTAGAAAGGCCGAGTTCCCTCCTCGGGGAGATCCCAGTCTAGGGGCAGGCGTGGTGGCCTCATGGAGCTGTAATTATCATACCTCTGCTGCGTGATGCTCAGGAAAGTTCTACGTTGCTTAGGCCGTGGCTGCCTTGGGAATGCATCAGAATTCGGACCATTAGCTCCGTGTTCCTCACTTCCCTAGGTTCCCACCAAGGATGAGTTCTTATTACCCTGCTCTGCCTGCATTTAGTGAGAAGCATTAGTCTGCCTGCTTTGGTCCCTGAGCAGAGGGGTGTGTACTAATGGATTATATGAAACGGAGGATTTAAAGTTAGATTTCCTAGAATAATCAACAAGTCTCATGACCTAAAAAAGACTATTCTAAATATGTCATTGCTACACCTGTGTACATTTATGAAAACTGTCTCATGACTTTCACTTGGATAGGAATTTTCCTTCTTGTCGGCTCATCTTGCCCTCATGCCACTCTTGGGGAGAAGAGATGATTCTGAAAGAGGACATTTCCCAGGTGGACAAGGAGTCTCAAGCCTACCAGGAAGTCTCAGCTCTCGGAGGAACTTGATTGTGGGGAAATTCTAATGCACACCCATGTGTTTGTCTTCCCCCAAGCAGATTTCCAGCACAAGTTCACCGTCCAGGCCTCCCCCACCATGGATAAGAGGAAGAGTCTCATCAACAGCTGTTCCAGCCCTCCTGCAAGCCCTACCATCATTCCGCGCCTTCGAGCCATCCAGTGTGAGACTGTTTCCCAAATCAGCAGGGGCCAGAACACACCGGGGGCACCTGTCTACTCTGTCCAGCTACCAGATAGTCCAAGCTGGCACCATCCGTAGCTTCTGCCACCTCTCCTCGACAGTGTGTGCATTAGAATGTACATGTGTGCACAAACCTTCGTCCTCCTCCGTCTCCTTCCGCTAGCTTTACTGCTGCCTGCTCCACCTCTTCCTGGCAGTCAGATACCAGCCACGGGGTCTGTGGGAACTATGGGGATACTGGGCACCTTGTGTGCTCTGCCATATTTAGGGCATCACTGTTTTTCTTTTGTTTATGCTTCCCAGGGATGGGTGTTTTTGAAGTGTACGTTTTAAGAAAGTTTGGCAAGTATTTTATGATAGGCCAAATTTGGACCAATTTTATTTTTATGGTGGTGTTTATTAAAAAGAATTTATAGTCCAGCCAGAGTGGCTCAGTGGTTGAACATCAACCCATGCACCAGGAGGTCGCCAGTTTGATTCCTGGTCAGGGCACATGCCCAGGTTGTGGGCCAGATCCCCAGTGGGGGGCATGCAGGAGGCGGCCAATGGATGTTCTCTTTCATCGATGTTTCCATATCTCTCTACCTCTCCCTTCCTCTCTCTCTAAAAATCAATAGAGGAAAAAAAAAATAAAAAGAATTTATATTTACACAGACTCATACACACATGTGTGTATGTGTACGCATGAATTGGTTTCTCTGATTTAAGGTAGAGAGATGTCATCAAAAAATCCTGGGTTTCTGGCTTTCCTTGAAAAGTCAAATCACGTCCGTGGACTTCCTTTTGCACGTGGCCACAGCTGGCTGGAACTCACGCGGCTTCCACATGCTCCGAATTTTGCCTCAGTTCTCTCGACTCCTTATTTTTTGGTAACTGGCTCACCTCTCTCTTTATGGTATAAGCCAAGTCTCTGCAGCATTTGGGTTTCAGCCCAAGCTCGAAGGTAGCAATTTCAGAAGAATGTTCTTCCCCTCTTACCTGTTCTATTCCTCCAGGCCTGTTCCTTCCCCGTCCCCTTGACTTCCTTTTCCAGTCGAAATCCTCATTTTCTTCCTTTCCAACACTTTTCTGACCAAAATGTCTGCACTTCCACCTCGTCCGTACCCCTAATCTTTGTTCTGTCCACCTACCTCCTCACTCACCCGCCCCACAATCCAGTTCCACCCAGCAAAACACATTTCTTAAGTCAGATCTGGTTGGAACTCTGAGTCTGCCTGGCCTGAGTTCCAGCTGTACCCTGGACTTAGGAGAAGCTAGGAAGGGCTTCCATGATTCGTTCGGTGTGTGTGTGTGTGAATGTGTGTGTGTGTGAGTGTGTCTCGTAAGGTGGAGGCTAGTTTTGGGGGGAGAACGCTGTCTGTCTGTTTCCAGATCCCATCCAACCTTTGTTATTCACAGTGACACCAGGTGAAAGCAGCAAAACCTGGGGCCGGAGCTCAGCCGTCCCGAAGGAGGAAGGGGAGGAGGAGGAGAAGAGGGCTTCCAAGAAGAAGGGACGGACGTGGGGGCCAGGTACACTTGGTCAGAAGGAGTTTGCCTCGGGAGATGAAGGGTAAGAGCCAGATGATGGGAAATTCTCATTTAAAGACGGGCATCCTTTTAAAACTAGGATGTGAAATACCTTTTTCTCTGTTGTGCACTTCACTTCTTTCTGATACATTACAAGCTTCTTGACCTTTACAGCAGAACTGGCCAATCTCCCTTTTCCCTGGAACCTCCTGGGACAGTGGTTGGCATACTTTTTCCATAAAGGGCCAGATAATAAATATTTTAGGCTTTGTGGGCCATGTGGTAACTGCTTGACTTCACTGTGGTAGAGCAGAAGCCGCCACAGACCATGGACTAGAGTAAGTAGAAAATAGGTGGTGGGCAGGAGTTAGCCCACGAGTTACAGTGTACCGACCCCTGGAGGTCCCACTCAGAGCAGCAAGTACCCTGAGCATGAACCAGACAGAGTTCTGCCTGAGTATCGCACTTATACCTGGCTCCCCACTTAAAACATCTGCTCAGAGGAAACAGAAGAAGAGTGGATTGTGGGACACTCGACTGGAGGCTCATCCGAAAGCTGGGGCGGGTGGAAGGATCATGCCTGGCGGAGCAGTTGCATAGAACTACAGGGCCTCTGGAACTTCTCTGAGGCCCCACCCATAGCCACACTGACAGGTGTGAGCACCCTCTGGACAAAGCACAAAGCACGTCTTGGTGCCTTAGATGTGCTTGTGTTCGCTCTGTGGGCTTGTGGCCTAGGACTCAAGTTCTCCCGGCCCCTGTCCTTCGGAGGCCTGCCACTTATAGTCTAGTCGTGAAGAGCTTGGATGCTGACCCAAGCCCTCTGGGTTCGAATCCTGGCCCCACCATGCCTAGCTATGGGACCGTATGTTTTCTTAGCTATAAAATGGGGATTATAGTCCTGGCTAATTTGGCTCAGCGGTTAGAGCATTGGCCTGTGGACCAAAGAGTCCAAGGTTTCGATTCCGGTCAAGAGCACTGTACCTCGGTTGCAGTTTGGTCCCCGGCTCTGGCTGGGGTCGTGTGGGAGGCAACCAATCAATGTGTCTCTCTCACATCAATGTTTCCCTCTCTCTCTCTCTCTCTTTCCCTCCCCCTTTCGCTCCTTCCTCTTTCCCTCCCACTCTGTCTAAAGATAAATGGAAAAATATCCTCAGGTGAGGATTTTTAAAAAATTAATTAATTAATTAAAATAAAGTGGGGATTATATCCAGACCCATCTCATAGAGTTGATGGAGTGATAAGTTCATCCTTGTGAAGTGCCAGAGATTAGCTGGCTCACTGTAAGCATGTGTAAGTATTTGCTATGCTTCTAATGTAATGCTATTTCATATCCGAAGAACAAACATAATGGTTTATACGTCTTCTTCTTGCTGTTAGAATCTAGAACCACGTTTTTTTACTTTTCCTAGTGTGAGTATAAGCAGCAACCTGCTTCACCCTGTCTAGTGGCTTTCCAAAGAGCTTCTAAGGTTGACTAGCAGGCTTATAGGTGCCCTGAACCTATAATTGGCCTTGGTATTCCTCCAAACACTAAGATTTCATCTCCAGAATCTGGTTTGCTATGTCAGATTTGAGCTGAAGGTAAAAATAACAGTTTGGTTCATAAAGGATTGACTATTTGAAGCCAGGCTTTGGAATAGAAAATTTAGACATGTAGGGCAAAGCGACTACGCTATGTAAGAATCCAGTGATTGAGCCCTGGGGGCGGCAGTTACTCTGTTGTACTCAGTTCTACAGGAGCAAGGGTTCCTCTGTTTGTCCTCTAAACCTGGACTAGAGTGAGGTTGAGCCGGGACCGAGAGGAAACTAAGTCACCCTGAATCCCATGATATTTCTAACATTAGTGTGATTACAGATAGGACTTACCAGGTTGGCCATGGATCCCAATAGTTTCTGTGGTTCAGTTTCATTAAAAATTTTTTTTTTGTCTTACTGGTAAATTAAGTTTATTTTGCATTATAAAACATTAACTTTGTAATTTTCTTCCTTCTTACATAGATTTACCTTCAAAACTTTTTTTTAAGATGTTTTCCCCCTAATCCTCGCCCAAGGATATGCCTTCATTGATTTTACAGAGCAGGTCGGGAGGAGGAGAAACATCAATGTGAGAGAGAGATATCTATCAGTTGCCTCCTGTACGCACCCCAACTGGGGATCAAACCCAAAACCTAGTGATGGGCCCTGACTGGAAATTGAACCTGCAACCTTTTTGGTGTATGGGACAATGCTCCAACTAACTGAACCACCTAGCCAGGGCAAGATTTCAAAAAAAATTTTTTTATTGATTTTAGGGAGAGAGAAAGAAACATTGATTTGTTGTTCCATTTATTTATGCATTCATTTGTTGATTCTGTTATTTTTATCTTTTTTTTTTTAAGGGAGAGAGAGACAGAAACATTGATGTGAAAAAGAAACATTGATTGGCTGCCTCCTGCACGCCCCCACTAGGGATCGAGCCCGCAACCCGGGCATGTGCCCTGACCAGGAATGGAACCAGGACCTCTCAGTCCATGAGACGATGCTCAGTCCACTGAGACACACTGGCTGGGCCATTGGTTGATTCTTGTATGTGCCCACAACCTTGGCATATGGGGACGACACTCTAACCAACTGAGCTAGCTGGCGAGACCTGCCCTGAAAACTTTTTTTTTATCCTCACCTGAGGACATTTTTCCACTTTTTGTTCAGATAGAGTGGGAGGGAGAGAGAGGAAGAGAGAGAGAGAAACATCGATGTGAAAGGGACACATTGAGTGGCTGCCACCCACACGACCAACCAGGCACTGAGGTACGTGCCCTTAGCAGGAAGCGAACCCGGGTCTCTCCGGACCGCAAGCCGACACTCTAACCGCTGAGCCAAACCGACCAGGGCTACCCTAAAAACTTTTGAAGCAGTTCAAAATATGTGACTTCATTTTTCACGATTCTCAATTCCTATTAAAAAAATAAAATATACCCCCCCCCAATCTCGAGGAAAAGACCTCTTTAATGTCAGAAATTTTTGAGAGCCTTTATATGACAATATTTCTAAATCTAGTCCCTGCCAGCTAAAGAAAATGTAATGACATAAAACTTTATTGAATTTAGTAATGTTAAGTGAATTTACATCTCTGTTTTTTTTTTTTTTAAAAAATTCCACCTTTGTAAGAAACACGTACACTTGTCTAGATAGCATGGGCATCTGTGGGTTCAAAGGCCCCCTGGAATCATGCTGTGGCTGCCCAGAGACCTTTGTCCCATAGACTGGGAGGTCCTGGTCTGTAGCAGCTCAAGCAGGGCCATCTTCTTAAGATGCTTTTATGGTGTGAGCTTTGCTGACCGGACAGAGGGAGGGCAGCTGGCGATGTAGGTGGAGTCCAGCCTTGAGGGGTCTCCTAGGAGAGGCTGAGCTGGGTGTACCCACCGCTGCCCACTACTGATTCTCTTTATTCATTGAAGATCCCCTCAGAGACGTGAGAAAGCTAATGGTTTAAGTACCCCCTCAGAATCTCCACATTTCCACTTGGGGTGAGTCTAATCTTCACCCCTTCGAATGTATTGGCCATAATGCCCCTTCCATTTCCTGTTCTCACAGTGCACCTCGTAGAATCCAGCCTCTTTATTGCCAAGCTATGCAGATCTTTGTGTTTTTTTTTTAAGCAGTACCTTCGTGCACCTTGGGAAAATTCCTGTGTTGGTCTGACCCTACCTTGTTCTTCACTTCCCTGACCACTCCTGTTGTTGGGGTTCTCCAGGTACCCCTTGTTTTAGAAAGACGGAACTATTTACCCATTGGTGTGCAGTGCTGGCTCTGATTTTGCTAATCTGGATTTCCTTGGACCCAGAGCTGAAGGCACTGTTACAGATTATCAGGCAAAAGTCCCGAGCTAGGGGTTTAGCAGCGCGCTTGTCTCCGGCTGCGTGTTGTGGTTCACACCACTGGTGGCTGGAATGTATTTTAACTTGTTAGTATTTATGATGGCACTTGAAACGGAGCCCTGAAGCCATGGAAAAAGTTGGTCCTTCTCTCTCCCTCAGATAGGCTGGGAAGAATGGGCTTTAGTTGAATGGCTCTTTCTAGCCCTAAAATGAGAGCCCCCTCTAGTTACAATCCTTGTATCTCTAAGGCAACCACAGCTTAGGTTCCTGTTCTTCCCCTCGTTGTCCTCAAGGGAGGAGCCCAGTGCTCTGGGCCCCTGATTCACTCAGTCTGTAAGGGGGTTGGCGGGCACCCCAGTCTGTGTCTGCAGTTACTGCCTTGCCAGTGTGAGCGGATTGTAGGGATTGGAAAGTGAGCTCCTGTCCTTTTGCTCTCCAGTCCCAGGCAAACCGAAGACTCGAGTACAGCATTGCGTACTCCCCGCATAGGTCTGTCCCAAAGTGCACTGGGTTAGTGCCGCTTTGTTGGTTGATTTTTGTTTTTTGACAAGTGAATGGCTTTGGAAGTTGCCTAAGCATGCCATATGCTTGGAAGGAGACTGAGAAGTGATGTGAGTATAGCGACCTGGCCCATCCCTGCTAGCTCATCTGCCCAGGGCTTGGCTTGCATTGCAAGTCTTTGCGTTGCAGCGTGTTATAGTCAGTGGCGTGAAGGCCTCTCCTTTAACACGGGCTCAGGCAAGAGCCTGGCCGGTGCTGGGCAGCCCTTATTCCGTCTGTCTGCTCTCCGGCCGCCCGTCAGACCCTTCCACGCCCTTGGCAGCATGTGAAGGGGGTGGCCGTGCTGCTGCTTTTCTTTCCCTAGAGCATGTGCACTTTCGGCGATGGAGCGGTGGGCTCAGTACGGCTGGTTGCCGATTCCCCAAGGCTCTTGGGCTTTGGTGTGAATAAGGGAGACCTTTCCACAGGCCGTGGACCTGAGGGTGGCGTAAGGGAAGTTACCAGTATTAACAGTTTCCTCATTTGCCCTCATTTAGCCTCAAGTCCCTGGTAGATGGATACAAACAGTGGTCATCCAGTGCCCCCAACCTGGGGAAGGGCCCGAGGAGTAGCCCAGCCCTGCCAGGGTTTACCAGCCTCACGGAGATGGGTAAGCATCGCCCTCATCTTGACTCTCCCTGTTCCCTCAGGGAGTTCTTGGCCCGGCTTCCAGGACTGTCTAGGGCCCTCAGTATTACTCCTGGGGGTCGTCTCCTCTTTCACTCAAATCCTAGTCCCTCCTCTCCCTCCTCTCCCTCTTACTTTGTCCTATTCCCATTTTGTTGAATCTTCCCAAGTCACTGCTGCTGCCATGGAGCCTGCCCTTGGCTTTCTGTCAAGGGGCCAGTTATAGTCTCCTTAGGGCGGTGCAGAGGGGTGAGGCCTCGAACCTGGCATTTCCCTTTTCTGGGTCTGTTTCCTGGTATTTCAGTGCAGGGAGTCCATCCAACGGGAGACGGTGGAAGAGCATGCTGCAGTCCCTGAGCACTGGGTGGGCAAGGTCTTCAGGCTCCCCCCCGACAGCCAGTCCTCTTACTGATCTCTGTAGATTTCCAAGGTCATAGTAGGTCAGTCTGTAGATTGGTCTTCACCCATGTAGGGGAGTCTAATCCTTTGCAAGTTTTAAGACAAATCTCTAGGCTGTCATTCTAGAAATCCAAGGTCCCCTGCAATTCCAAGGTGCAAAAGAATCAGGGATGCTTCTGTTCTATCCAGTGTTTTAGGAAACTCGCTGCGCTTCTTGTGTGGAGGGTCCCTGTGAACAAAGTAGCAAATTAACAGTCCGCTTCTGCGGGTGGGGAAACAAGCTCTGGAATAAGGAGGATTTCTCGTTGGTCACAGTTGAGCATGGAGGGGTGGAGCCCTGTTGGTTCCCTTGCCCCGCCCATCAGACTTTTTGACCTCTGCGTCCCTGACACTGAGCCCGGAGGCCTGGACAGGGAGAAGGACCAGACTCTTACTCTTGTTGCTGCATTCCCGTTTTCTGTTTCCCGTCTGCTCCTCTCGTTTCACAGAGGATGAAGACAGCGAAGGCCCCGGGAGTGGGGAGAGTCGCCTACAGCATTCGCCCAACCAGTCCTACCTCTGTATCCCATTCCCTCGTGGGGAGGATGGGGATGGCCCCTCCAGCGACGGAGCCCACGAGGAGCCCACCCCAGTCAACTCAGCCACCAGTACCCCTCAGCTGACGCCAACCAACAGCCTCAAGCGGGGCGGCGCCCATCACCGCCGCTGTGAGGTGGCTCTGCTTGGCTGTGGGGCTGTCCTCGCAGCCACAGGCCTGGGGTTCGACCTGCTGGAAGCTGGCAAGTGCCAGCTGCCTCTCCCGGAGGAGCCTGAGCCACCAGCCCGGGAGGAGAAGAAGAGGCGTGAGGGTCTTTTTCAGAGGGCCAGTCGCCCTCGTCGGAGCACCAGCCCCCCGTCCCGGAAGCTCTTCAAGAAGGAAGAGCCCGTGCTGTTGCTAGGAGACCCCTCTGCCTCCCTGACACTGCTGTCTCTCTCCTCCATCTCCGAGTGCAACTCCACTCGCTCCCTGCTGCGTTCAGACAGCGATGAGATCGTGGTGTATGAGATGCCTGTCAGCCCGGTGGAGGCCCCCGCCCTGACCCCCTGCACCCACAACCCCTTGGTCAATGTCCGAGTGGAGCGCTTCAAACAAGACCCTAACCAATCCCTGACTCCTACCCACGTCACCCTGACGACCCCCACGCAGCCCAGTGGTCACCGGCGGACTCCTTCCGACGGGGCCCTCAAGCCAGCGGCTCTCCTGGCCAGCAGGAGCCCCTCCAGCAATGGGTTGAGCCCCAGCCCGGGAGCAGGTGAGTCCTGCCCTCCTCTTCTTTCCTCCTTCCGGCCTCTGTGCCTCCCCAGGAGCAGGGATGTTGCCGTGAACTCCATTCCTCCTCTGACTCAGCCAGTCTAGACGGGATGATCTGGGGTGAAGGAGGTGGCTGGCTTCTCTCCGACCTGTGCTTCAGGGGCTGTTCCCTGAGGAACAAAAGAAGACAGGCAGGTCCCAGGAAGGACCGGGCCGGGACGCCTGTGGACGATTAGGCCCCGGGTCTGGGAGTGCACAGGCAGTGCTTCTGGGCCTGGTGTGGAGGGCCAGTGTCAGGGCACAGGGAGGGCAGGAGCCTGGCTCTGCTTGTTCCCTGCAGAGGAGCCTCGAGTCACCGGGAGGGATCCTGCCCTGAACTAGAAGGGGTGTGTTTTGCCACGTAGCTGTGCTCTTGCCACTCCTTATAGCACCAGTATAGGCACACTCACCAGGCAAGCTGCCACCCACGCTCGCGCCCTCCACCACTCACCCCTTACGCATGCCCGACTTTTCGGGCATGGAGGTGTGCCCAGGTAAATCGCTATGCTTGTGCATAGCCCTGCCTTCTCCGTCTGACCCTGTGACACCTGGGCATGCCTAGGCCCACCCTAGGTCTTTCCCATCACTGTCCCTAAGAGACCTGGGTCTCTCGGAAACCACCTCTAATCCAGTAGGAGAGGGGATGGCAATACCCTTTCAACGGGATTTGCCTGGTAATGATCATTGTATTTGACCATTCCGCTGTCCCTCCCTCTTTAGATATTTTTGTTAAACACAAATATGTGATCTCTTTGGAGGTAGAGACCCCTGTGTTACTCATCTTTTTCAGATTTCTGATACCTAGCTTTGTTCCCATCACGTGCTTATTACATAGATGAACTGTGAATGACCAGACATTTCCTTAAGTCCTGGGTCAGCAAACATTTTTGGTAAAGGACCAGATAGTAAATATTTCAGGCTTTAGGGGTCCTAGGGTTTCTGTTGTAACTGCTCAACTCTGCTGTTATAAAGAAGGCAGTAGGCTGGCTGTGTTCCAATAAAACTTTATTTACAAACACGGGTGGCTGGCCCGTGAGTTACAGTTTGCCGACATCTGCTTTATGTAATTTTATTACAGCTATAACCCCATATGTCACACCATTACTGCCAGGCCTTCTGGCTCACTGTGGTATCTCCAGTGCCTCCCAGCACGCTGTGTGGCACATAGGAGGTACTCACTGAACGCTTGTTGTCCATGTTATCCCACGTGAGTAGGGAGGGAGCGGAGTGCACCTGGCCCAGAGAAAAGGTGCCCTCATCGGATGCCTCTCCCCTTGTCTCTTTGACCAGGAATGTTGAAAACCCCCAGCCCCAGCCGAGATGCCGGTGAATTCCCCCGTCTTCCCGACCCCAATGTAGTCTTCCCCCCGACCCCAAGGCGCTGGAACACACAGCAGGATTCTACCTTGGAGAGACCCAAGACCCTGGAGTTTCTGCCTCGGCCACGTCCTTCTGCCAACCGGCAACGGCTGGACCCTTGGTGGTTTGTGTCCCCCAGCCATGCCCGTAGCGCCTCCCCGGCCAACAGCTCCAGCACAGAGACACCCAGCAACCTGGACTCCTGCTTCGCCAGCAGCAGCAGCACCGTGGAGGAGCGGCCTGGGCTTCCAGCCCTGCTCCCGTTCCAGGCGGGGCCGCCGCCCCCCGCCGAGCGGACGCTTCTGGACCTGGACGCCGAGGGCCAGAGTCAGGACAGCACTGTGCCCCTGTGTAGAGCTGAACTGAACACACACAGGCCTGCCCCTTATGAGATCCAGCAAGAATTCTGGTCTTAGCATGACAAGGGTCAGAGCTGGGCAAGGGGCAGCAGGAGGAGATGGGGGAGCTGGCTGGCACAGCCCTTTCTCAGGGTCGGACCTCCTGAGATCCAGTCCTACTTCTTGCACTGATACTGCACTTTGAGGATGGGAGGGTGGAAGCAGAGCCACTTCAGAGGGTCCGCGGCCCTGCAGGGCCTGTCACCCGTGTCCACTGCAGGGCTGTGGCTATCGGCTCTGGCTGTGCATGTCCCCCACAGTCTTCCTCACCTTTAGGGTGGCCTTGCGGCGTCACTCAGCCAAATCTGTCTGCTGCCCCCTCTCCTCAGCCCCCTGGGTATGCCCAGAGCCTGTCCTGGGGTCCCTCTGTTAGCCCCGAGTTCAGCCCTCCCAAACACCAGTATTGAATGTTCTGTGATTGATTTTGTTCTTCCACATTCTTCCCGAATACCCACGAATCAGAATCTTGATGTGAGATAAGAGCTTTTCTGTGTCCTAAGCCCTTTTTATGCCAGCTGGAGGGCTGAAGGCCAGGGGCCCAGTGTGGGGCATGGGAGCTGATGGACCTGGCACTGCTTACCTGTACTTCCAGGTGCCCCTCTTATTTATTTGAGCCTACCAGTTGGGGGGGGGGGCTGTCTCAGTGAGAGCTGGGGGAGGGGAGGGAATTAGGAAAAATACAGCCCAGTTGCAGTAAAGAGGGTAACAGAGTCTGTCTGTCCTTGTTCCTTTTGGAAAATCTCAAGGGCAGAAACCAGCACCCGTTGACCGCGCCCATCTCCTACCTAGGGTCCAGACGTGGTCAGACCAGGTTCTGATACAGACATGCTCATCCCATGATTAAGTTTCTTGGAATGCCAGAGACAGGGTTCCTCTGCTTGTCCCTTTTGTTGTCTGATCTTTATGTTACTCCCTTCCCTTGAGCTTTCCTCCTGTCCCTGGAGGTGGTGGATTTCGGGTTATGTATTTGGTTGGTAGATATCTCTGCATTGCACCAGAATAGCATATGGGATTGGGTGGGCAGGTATGGAGTGGGTGTTTCTTCTCAGCCAGGCCATCCATTCTGTAATGCCTTTGAAATAAAACGGAGCCATGAGCAGTACCTTCCGTGAATGGTTGCAGCAGTGATGCTTGTAAGGTGCTTAGTGAACCACCAATGTACAGTGACCTTCAAGTCCCAAGCCCTGGAGACTGACCAAGGCCTCTTGTCTCTGTGCACAGATAGCCCCTGATGCTGGGCTCTGGACCACGAGCTGGGTAGGAAGGACAACAGGGACCAACCCTGACTTTTCTGGAATTTGTTTCCTTGATTGAATGTTGAGCTTCTTCTGGAGTTTACTTCACAGTTCCGCTTACTCTGAGGCCTCTGGTGTCAGGTGTGAGGAGTTGTCTTTGTGTGGGAACAATAGCTTGATTGGGAGTAGTCCTTAGGTCCTGCTCCTCCCCCTTCAAGACTCCATGTTGCTCCGCTGTCTTTTGCCTTGGAATGTTGTCTGGAAGTGTTGGAGGCCAACCCACAGGTTCCTGGCTCTTGCTGCCTGAATGCAGAATGGGGAGAGCAACGGAGCAGGTCCGAGTGATAAATATGGTCACTGCTCTCTCTCTGCAAGTCTGGTAGACAACCTGCGCTGGGCATGGCAAAATGGGTGACCTTGGTTTTCAAATCGATCCTTGTTTTTTGAGCCCACTGGCACTTTGGTTCGAGGGCCCCACCTAGTCTTGGGCAGGGAGGTACTACTGGTTTTGTGGCCTGGGGTTTGTTATTGCATCTCATCTCTCTACTTGTCTGTGTTCGGCGAAGCCACATGCAAGAGATTATTTTTGTCTCATTCTGTACTCCTTGGGTAGGAGGGATAAAATGTGAATCCTTTCAGCAGTTCCAGCCAACCAGGTGACTCCTCTTCATTCTTGGTGGGGGGAGGGACACAGGTAGTCTGTGCCCTTCCCCTGGACTCTCCACAGCCCCCGTCTCTAAGCCCCCGACACATCTCTAAGGCCCCGAAGGCCCTCAGGTGGCCTGCGGCCTACAGGCTCTGGACGGTCAGTGCTCTGTGATATGAGGCGGGGATTTTGCCTTTGCTCATTTTCTACTTTTTGCCATTTTGTTAGGTTGTAGCCATCTTTCTTGAAAGTGTGATTGATGTAGCATAAAGTGAATGATGGCCACTTGCCAGTAAGTGACAGGTTGAACTCAGTTCTGACTCCTCCATCGGGCGGGAAGATGGGAAGGCTGGGCCTCTGCGAAGGGGGAATGGCACCTGCCAGAGGCAGAACCACAGTTCATCTGAAAAGGCTCCTGGGAGTCTCTGTGAAGGTGAAAGAGTTCCCATCCCTCTCTGATGGGCCCCTGCCTGCCACACTGTCTCCCTGTAGGGCAAGGCTGGGATGGGGTAAGGATCCTGTATAGTAACAGGTTTACGTTGCTTTCTGTCCACTCAGGTTCCCTGCCTTGTGGTCATGGTGGGGGTCAGGCTCTGCCATAGAGGCCTCCCTTTTCCCTTTTCCCTCAGAAACATACCCTCGCTCTTGGCAGGTGCTCGCTACAAGGCAGCTGGTGATAGAAACAGATCCTGCTCTCTGCCCTTCTCCGTGGATCTGTCGGCTCCTCCCCCTGGCTCTAAACAGAATCACCCTTCGCTTACCCCCGGGCATCCAGGCCACTGCCAGGGCTGGGTCGATGTTTCAGATCTCATATGTTATTTCTAAGAGGCTTTGGTGGATGCAATTAACTTTGCATCATTTAGTATCCTGAGGGTCTTGTAGTAATGATGATGACGATGATGATGACGATGACGATGACGACGATGATAATATGATGGTGATAATATCATATATTTTTGTGACTCAGAATCATGCTAACCTTTCCTCGGGACCTTTACAAAAGTACATCATTTTTTTTCCTACATTTGATGTCCTTGCTGGTAGAGAAAGGGAAATGCTTAAGGACAACGATTCAAGTAAAGAGAAATTAAAAAGCTGCTTGGATTGATTGCTGAGTCAGGCACCAGGCTCTGAGACCGAACAGGTTGGCTCTGTTCTTCATTCCGCTGTTGCTGTCTGACCTCGGGCTTGTCTCTTCGCCCTCTCAGATTTCCTTCCTGTAAAAGCTGCCGTCGCCTGCTTCCCGCAAGGGCACGGAGAGGAAGCATCAGCAGGCCAGTGAGGCCCGCGGCTCACCGAGGGTGGGACTAGGATGCACTGCTGAAGCCGACAGTGTGGTCCCCCTCCTTTACTTCTAGGGGACTCACCTACTGTTTCTTCCTTTGTCTTCTGGGAGTTGGCTTTGCATGACTACTAGAGGGACCATGGTCAGGCACATGCTCGTCTACTGCATTTGTGTAGCACCTGATGTTTACAAGCATCCTTCCAAATCCCCTCACTTAACCTGTCAGGCTGATTATCCCCACCAATTGTGTCTTACGGAGGAGGAAGTGGCTGAAGGCATCAGAATGACAGTTTGGAGTCTGATTTCTTGGAGTCATTCCCCGAGTCTTATTTAGAGACTGGAATCAGGCCAGTTCCTGGAGAATCTTTGGGAAAGGGTCTGCTGGCCCTTGGGACGTGTGTCACGGTGTGGGCTTCCTCACAAAGCCCTTCTCCCTCAGACCACGATTGCTCAGGGACATGGCGAGACACCCAAGGACAGCTAGGCTTGACTTCTGGTCAATTCTCTTGCTCCACAGTCCCCATGTTGCCCCCCAAGGAGGGAGACACCTCCCGAGCACTCCTAACTCTTCCAGCCTGCTTTTAACAAAGCCCAGAGCAGCAGGTACTGAAGACTGGAAGGCTGTGAATGGTTCGCGTCAGGCGTGAGTTGTCCATCTGGCAGGCCCCTCTGAGTGCAGAACCTGACCTTTCCCTTAATTAAGCCTGTGCCTTTGACTCAGGTGTGTGAGGCCCCATCGGGCAGGTCGGGAACACTCCATTGCCTCGAAGGATTGGGGAAGGAGCGGGTGCTGAATTTTCTGTAGGACTAGGCTGTTGAGGGCTCTGCCAGGGCCTGCTGACCTGCAGAGGTGTGAGCAGCCCACGGCATGGTGAGCGGAAGCCACCGTGGCATCAGGGGCCGCAGGAATGTGGTGATCTGAGCTGCCCACGTGCTAGTGTGAAGTTGCAAGTGTCTCCTGACGGTGGACCTCTGAGCCCAACCCTGAATAAGGACAATGCTGCCTTCTTGACCCAAATCACGGAGCTCTTCTAACTTTCAAGTGTATGGTCCTGGAGCCCCATCCAGCACTGGTAAGTCTCACCTTGCTGGATTGCTTCTCTTTGTGGAGAAAACTATGTGTGTGGGGGCGGGGGTAGGTCAAAAACTAGGGGAAAAAATCAATTTCATATAGTCCAACCTACTAGACCACTGGCCTCTCTCCTTGGCTTCAGGCCTGAGGATGATTTCCTGTTACGCTGCAGTTATTGTAGCAACACATTCCCAACTGTGCCTCTGTTCCTTCAGACAGATCATTGTTATTTTAGATCAGGAATTCAAATGAATAAAAATCCACATCAGAAAGGAGAGCCCACTGCTACTTGGTGGAGGAGGGCCTCAGTCCCTGGCTGTTTTCCTGGCCTAGCCGCCTACCGCCTCTGCGCTGGTGTTGGAAGGCAGGAGGCAGAAACTAGAGTCCTGGCTAATTAAGGCTAATTAACCAGGCTTAGGTACCTAATTAACCTGACCCAGCCCTGGGCTTCTGGTTGGCTGTGCGGGCCAGCTGAGCCTCTCCTAGACTTCTCATACTGTTACTATTTTCCATTTGTCTTGTTGAGATACTGACAGGCCCCACCCCTCCTTTGTCCAGTTTGTCTTGGGCCCTGGAAGCACCCTGGCCTCTAGGCTTCTGCGGAAGCCCTGGCATTTGTTCTTCCAAAGGTTGGGCTCCCTCCTTAATCTGGAGCCAGCAGGACTGGTCCTTCCTGATTCTCACTGTCTGTGGTTCCCTGCCTCGCCTGCCATAGCCTTGCTTTAGGTCTTTAGCTCACAACTGCAGCTAGAAATGGAGAATGAACCCTGGCCAGCGTGGCTCAGTTGGCTGGAGCATCGTCCGGTACACCCCAAGGTTACAGGTTTTATTCCTGGTCAGGGCACATACCCAGGTTGCATACTCGATCCCCAGGCGGGGCATGTATAGGAGGCAACCGATAGATGTTTCTCTCTCACATTGATCTCTCTCTCTCCCCTCTTCCTCTCTCTCTCCCAAAAAAGAAAGGAGAGAATGAAAGGGTCTAGTGGGTTGCCAGAGCCAGGAGCTTTTCCACATCACTCTGTTTCTCATGGAAACGCACCCTCCCTCCTGACTGGTCTGACCCACCCTCCCTGCAAACACACACAGCCTAGTTCTACGAGCCCGATGGGCAGGTGTGGACCTGACAACCAGACAGGTGTCTCAGGACGGACACTGGAGTACAATTCCAGAGGTTCAGGACAGCCCTTTTCCAATGGCGCACGTGGGGCTGACATCCCGGCATGAACCCAGAGGTCAGACGGGTTTTATGAAGGAGTTCTGGGCAGTGGTGGCCCCGTGGATCTGGTGTTACTTGTCTGCACTTACTGGAGTGCAAGCCAGGTTTCTGCAGTAGGATGTTGCCCATGCCTCTGAGCTCCTTCACCCCCAAATACCTGCACCGACAGGCTCTGACTTAATCTAAAATTCTGATATTGTGGTCAACATAGATTTTTTTCATTAATTTAATTTAATTTTTTATATACTGTATTGAAATATAATTTGCCTTGATAACTGAGTCTTTTTGGTGCCTCCTTAAATTTTTCATCCAAGGAGGGCACCTCTTCTCACCCCAGCCGGGGCCCTGCCTGCCCCTCACCTGGGTCTGTGGTGGTGCTCAGGCAGAACTGGGAAGTAGTTAGGTTGTTTTCTTCTGGTGCCCTTGCCCCGAGTCCTGGGTGAGGTGGTAGTTCTCTGGGAGTATTTGCATTTAAATAGGAATGTGTGGACTTACAACAGTGAAGCATGCTGGGAAGGTTTTCAACTGTGGACCTGTAATTGGGGGTGACTTCTCCTTGAAGTTCTCCAGCTTCCTGTCAGCCTCCCTGAAACCCTGAGGCTGCTTAGAGGTGTGTATGTGTTTCAGGGGAAAGGTTAGGGATCCCAGTAGAGAGGGCCTTTTTGATTCTCATCTGAAGCCTCTTGGGGATATCTTGGAACTTCCGGAGATGTGACTCAGTCGTTCTCATTCTCCCAGATTTCAGGACTGAAGTGGGTGGGGGCGTGTTCTCTCCCTCGCTTGCCTGGAACGGCGTCCATAGCCCTGAGCCTGGCCTCCAGTCATAGTGTCAGCCGCCACACCCTCTTCACGACCATTCTCTCATCTTGGTCCCACTCCCCCATCTAGCTCCACCTGCACTGCAGAAGCTGTGCTGCCTCCGGCTCCCCGCCCCCCCGTCAGGGTGAGGAGCGGTCCACCCTGGCCCAGGCAGGGGGACAGGAGAGGTTGTAAGAAACCATTGCACTTCCTCTGTGTGGGAGGTGGTGTCTTAGAGGTTGATTATGATGATGATGATTTTGACTCACAGTAATCCTGGGAGGGAAGATATGACCCTCCCATCTGAGAATGTGGAAACGGAGGCATGGTAACTGTATAACATGCCCAAGGCCACACAGCCAGGAGGCAACATGCCTGGTCTGCTTGGCTCCAAGTCGCTCTGATTTCCCCTGAGCACACTTTCAGAAGCCCTGGGATGAAACCCGCCCAGCTGAGGTCCGCCTCTGCTTCGCGATGGCTCTTTGTCCACGGAGGAGCTGTCCCGTGGCTGACCCATCTGCCTTCGTCTCCAGGCTCGCCGGCGGGGCGTGCAACTCCCAACGGTCAGTCGACTTCCTCTCTGCTCCCGGCTGCTTTCTCCACCACCTTCCCACCTTCTTCAGGGATTCGTTCCACACACGGGCTGAACATACTGATTCTGTAGCTCTTCTCCCAGCACCCTG